CCATCATACACCTTGACTTCCAACTATACTATACAGCAACAGTAATCAAAACAGTATGGCATTGAAACAGAAAACAGAAACACAGACCAATGGAACTGAACACACAGCCCAAAGAAAATCCCTCAAAAATATGGTCAGCTATTTTTTTTAGAAGATCAATAAAGAAGCATGACCATGCAATGGAGAAAGGAAATTCTCTTTAATAAATAGTGCTGGGAAACATGGAGAAACACATGCAAAATAATGTTAACTATTATAGATCCATACTTAAGTCCACACACACAAAAATTCAAAATGGATCAAATATTTGGATATAAGATCTGAAAACACCCATGCTGCTGCAAAAGTCACGAGCTAAAGAATACGTTCAAATTGCAATACAGGCATATGAAAATTTGTTCAACATCACTTAAGGGAAATACAAATCAAAACCACAATTTGATAGCATCTCACCCTTGTGAGAGTTGCCTTTATCAAAAAGAATAGAAACAACAAATTTTCCAAGGATATGGAGGAAAAGAAACTGTCATCCACTGTTGGTAGGAATGTAATTTGGTACAACTTCTATGGGAAATAGTATGGAGCGACCTTAAGAAAATAAAAATATATAGTGTTTTAAACCAATGTTACCATAATTTAAAAAAAAAATTAAAAAGAAAAATGGAAATCCCATGTGATTCAGCATTGCCTCTGCTAGGTATCTGCCAAAACTGTAATAAAACTGTAGTAAAAACTGTAGTAAAACTGTAGTAAACAGTAGTAAAACTGTAATACAAAAAGATTTATGTACTTCTATGCTCATATCACAACTTCCCTCAATTGTCAAGTCATGGAATAAACCTAAGTGGCCATTGAAAGGTGACTGGATAAAGAAATTGTGGAATACATACTCAATGCAACACTACTCATCTATTAAAAAAAAAAAAAAACAATGAAATAATGCCTTTTGGGACAAAATGGATGGACCTTGCTAAGCAAAATAAGCCAGAAAGTTAAAGACAGATATTGGATGGCTTCGTTTATCTGTGGAATATAAATACTCCCCTACCCTGCAAAAAAATAAAAATAATGCAAACTACAGCAAAGACAAATCTTATAGTTAATGAAAAATAAACTGGTTACCAGAGGGATCCAAGAGAAGTCAAGAGGGGATTTATGAAGTAATAGGGCACTGGCACCAGAGGTTTGATGGAGGGCGATTGAAGCATAAGAACATACATATGGAGGAGTAAAAATGTAACCCTAAAATCATATAGACAAATTTAATAAAATGAATAAACAAATTTTATTATTAACTTGGCTCGGCCATAGTAACTAGACATTTGGTGAAACACCAGTTTAAATATTGCTATGAAGGTATTTTTTAGATGAGATTAGTACTTAAGTCAGTAGACCTTGAATAAAGCAGATTCCCCTCCATAATGTGAATGAGATTTATGTAATCAGTATAAGACCTTAAGAGAAAAAGACTGCCATCCACCAGCATAAAGAAATCTACCTCCACACTTTCTTCCAACTCAAGATAAACATCAACTGTTTCCTGCCTGGGTCTTCAGTCTATCAGCCTCTCCTACAGATTTTGATTGTTAGCCTCTGCAATTTTATGAATCTATACCTGAAAACCAATTTCTTGATACATACAGATACACACACATATTCTTATTGGTTTTGTTTCTCTCAGAACTGTAACTAATATTTGCTTGAAACTGATATTTAGGAATGAATTTTTACTTTAAAACTCCCAAATCTAAATTTTTAATGAAAGTATACTTTTCTTAATTAATCTTAAAATCCCACAAAGAACATTAATATATCTTTGTGGATATTTATATAAGCAGTTACAAAACAATACAATAATCAGTATAAATTACAAATAATTAAAAATTCTATTGTTGAAATGCTCTAGTTTTTTTTTTTTTTGTGTGTGTGTGTGTAAATTGGGCCAATGAATAAATGAAGCAAAACAGAAAAAACAATAACAAAGTCCTTAACAATCTGAAAGCCCAAGCTACCTACAAGATGTTCTGCTGAATCAAAACAGACCCAATATTAATAAGGAATTAAAAAACAAGATACTCAAAAGCAGTTTTTTAGATTGAAATATGGAATAAAACCAAGTAGGTTTGAAAGTCAATAAGCTAGCCTAGACATCCAAAATAACCAAACACTGAAACACTAAATGCAATCCTGCAACTATGTTTGGGGTTAAGCATTCCTCATCACAACTATTATCAAAAAAGGGTATCCTTAGACTTCTTGTTTTCAAAAAAGGAACTATATTCTTTATCAACAGAACAGTCTAAAACTTCTTTACCCAGCCTTATCTTTGGAAATATAGGATCTAAACTTTCAGGTTAGACTTTAAAATCTAATTTTCTTTTTTTATATTGAGTAAACTAAAGTGAGATGATGTTTGTGATTTGCTGTTCATGTAATCTCAGAGCTATCTAGGAGTTTATCTTTGCTATTTTATTTTCTCTAGTTTAAATTTGCATGTATTAACTCCCATGCTATGAAAGGAAAATATACCATGTTAGTGAAATTATGAGGAACTTTTAGCATTGTACCTAACACAGTGTAGTTGGCATCTGAACTGGTTCATACCAGTTTTCTAAATTAACCTAGTGATAGCTGCAGCCTTTCTTCATTTCACCCCTGGTGGTCAGTCTTTGCAGTAACTGCCTACTGTGATGGACAGTAAAACAGAAGCAGCACATATACTTAAAAATATGTAAAAGCTACTTAGTGATTCTACACATTCAGGTCACCTAAATCGGAAAATTGTGAAATGAATATATTTTCTTTCTCCTAGCCAAAGAAAATTTAATAGTGTTTTTAAAAACAAATGATAGGCACACTATCTTAACTCAAAATGGATTAAAGACTTGAATTTAAGACCTGAAACCATAAAACTCATAGAAGAAAATATAGGTGGTTGACAGCAGTCCTGTGATGGTTTTGGATCTGACTATAAAAGCAAAGGCAACAAAAGCAAAAATAAACAATTGGGGCTACATCAAACTAAAAAGTTCTGCACAGCAAAGGAAATCATTAACAAAGTGAAATGGTGACCTACAGAAAGGGAGAAAATATTTGAAAATCTTATATCTGAAAAGGGGTTAATATCTAAATATAAAAAAAATTCATATAACTCAGAAGGAAAAAAAAAACAATCAGATTGAAAAAAGGGCAGATGATATGAACACATTTTTTCAAAGAAACATACAGATGGAAAATAAAAACATAAAACAATGCTCAACATCACATATCAGGGAAATGCAAATCAAAACCACAATATCACCTGACACGAGACAGAGTGACTATTATTAAAAAGACAAAAAGTAACAAGTGTTGGTGAGGATATACAGAAAAGGGAATTCACGTGCACTGTTGTTGGGAATGTAAATTGGTGCAGCAACTATGGAAAACAGAATTGAGGTTCCTTAAAAAAATAGAATTAACTTATGACCTGGAAATTCTACTTCTGGGTATTTATCCAAAGAAAACATTCATTCAAAAAGATACGTGCATCCCCATGTTCCCTGAAGCATTATTTAAATAGCCAAGATATAGAAACAACTTAAGTGTCTCTGAATGAAAATGAATGAAGAATTTGTATTATATGTGTAGCTTAACAATGTCTCAGTCAATGACAGACCACATAAATTATGGTGATTCCTAAAGTTTATACCATGTACCCTAGGTGTGTAATAGGTCATATCACTGAGGTTTGTATAATTACTGCCATGTTCACAGAATGATGAAATCAGTGAAGGACACATTTCTCAGAATGTGTCCCTGTTGTTAAGTAATGCATTACTGTATACACAATGGAATACTATTCAGTCATAAAAAGGAACAAAATATTACCATTTGCAACATGGATGGAAAATGATGGCATTATGCTTAAGTGAAATAAGTCAGAGAAAGATAAATACTATATCATCTCACTTATATGTGTAATCTATAAAAACAAAAACAAAACCTTAGATACAGAGGCAGGGATGGGGGTTGAAGAAATGGGTAAAGGATGTTATAAGGTACAAACTTCAAGTTATGTATGTCATGAGGATATAATGCACAACATGGTGACTATAGTTAATAATACCATATTGCATATTTTACTGTTGCTATGAGACCTTAAATGTCCTCATCACATGAAAAAAATTCTAACTATGTATGACGATGGATGTTAACTATTGTGATCATTTTATAGTATATATAAATATTGAATCATTATACTGTACACCTGAAATTGTTTTATATCAATTACACTCCAATAAAAATGCATACATACATACACACAAACAGAAATAAACTGAAATAAAGTAGTTTAATCAAGGATTGACCTAAACAGATCTACTGAGAACAGGGGAAGAAATAGATTCACTTCCAATAGACTTCTTTTACCTAACAATAAATTCCCTCTGCATAGCACATTTTGGTTTTGTGTAAGTTAAAACATGTTTCCAATAGAGACTGGCTTTCATTCTTTGTAATGATAGCAGTAACTGCTAGGATTTCTTCTTTAAAGTATATTTTCATTTTTGTTAACAGAAATGGTCTACTCCATCTCTCAGAGATGATAATACAGGCTCCATTGCGGGGGAAATTACCTTCTTTGAAACTTTACTTCACATGTTGATAAATATTATGATTGCCCAATGGAAATGAATAAAACTAAAATTACTAAAAGTATACTTCAAAATTTTAGCAATCATAATTGTGCAAATATTTACAACTAAAATGACATCACTAGTAAAATAGAGTGACATTTATTGTTTCAGGAAACTACTGTGATGTTTCACTGAACTTCAAATGGAGACAAAATGCTTGAAGGAAAATCTCAAGATGTAAGTAAGCAAGTTACCTGGAAGATAAAATAAAGATTCTTAATTAAAAAAAAAAATGACAGAAGTCTATTTTGAAAGCTTATGCTGAGAATTTTTTCCTGAAAAAAGAATGGTATAAAAACCATTTGATCAAGCACCCTTTCTTACCAGGTCCCGTTGATCCTCCTGTACCAGATCCATTTTGTGCACCAAGCAAAAGATTTTGGCATCTGGAGAGTTCTGCAGAATGGCCTCTAGGCATGATTGGTAATAATGCATGTCCTTTTCCAGTTCCCGGCTTTCCACATCAAAGACATAAATCAGAACCTCCACATTTCGGAAGATGTTGTCCCGTTGGCTAGTGAAATAATTTTCCATGAAGGTGTCCTGTCTAGCAGGAAAAAAATCTAGGTAATAAGCAAGTCCTCAGTTTAGTCACTCCTACTTAAGTTCTATTTGTGTTAGCCTAATCAATACAAATGATAATATTAAGGCTTTAAAGTAAAAATAGCAAATGAGTCTCACCTTACCTTTTCATTTCTTAAGCTGTACCTTAAGCTGCACCACCCTTTGCCCCACTCGTGTTTCAAATATACTTACCTCAGTTCTTGTGGCCCATGGTCTATCCACCTAGGGGCCTTCACACATGCTATTCACTGTTTCACATATTATCCCCCTACCTCTACAACTAATTAATTCCTACTTTGCTTTTTAGAATTCAGTTCAATCTATACATCTTCATAAAAACCATCCCTGACCTCTCTGACTTGTATAAATCCAGTCATCATAGTCATCATACTAATACTTTATTCTTATTTTCAATTTACTACAAGTGTGATGTTACATGTGTTTACATAAGGTTTTAATTAATGGCATTTACTTCCCAAGACATCAAGTTCCACAAGGCAAGGACAATGTCTGTTACTGTTTGCTATTATTTTCCAACTTTCATTTAGTACAGAATCTAGGTGCTTAATGAATATGAAAATGACTCCAAGATAACTTTTTAGCAGTGTTATTCTTTGCTTCTTAGATTGTGGGTGCTTCTCTATTACCAGCTGCCTAGCAGATATCAGCACAGTTTTATTATGAAAAAAAAAATCAACCTAGCTTCCAGTCCTACACTTTGCTATTCATTAGCTGTGTGGACTTGGGAGATTCATCTCACTGCAGTTCAGTTCTCTTATCTGTAGAGAATGAAGATAACATCTTATTGCCTAAAAGCAAAGGATTTAGACTATTCTCTTGGCACAGATTACAGAATTAGAAATAATAATAATGAAAAGAACTCATACTTAGAGAACTGCTAGGTGGTATTAAGTGATACATCTACTAATAGTAATGGAGTCATTCTTTTTACAGACTATTTGGCTATTATGTTGTTCTTTGAACAAATACTCATAAAGCATCTACTCTATGATTGGCTTTATACTAGGAGCTGGGAAACAGTGAGCTAACAGTACCTTTACATTGTGAGGTGCTTGGTTATACATCTTTGTACATACATCTTGCTTGTCAAACAAACCTATGAGTTGGTATCATCATTATCCCTACTGTACAGTTGATGAAACTGTAGCTCAGAGCATAAATGATCTACCTAAGATAACACAGCTAACAGAAGAGAAATGCAAATCCCAATCTAACTCCAGAACGTAGGTTCCTAGCCACTGTACACTACATACTGCTGCTTCAGCAAAAAGATGCAAATGGCCATAGGGTACAGAACAACACTTCATACAAGCACAGTGGGTGTGTATTTGTCAGGAGATATTTCAGAAGTGCCTTGACCATGAGAGGGAAAACTGTCACTTACTCCAACAGTGAGTAACTTGACTCTAGAATATGTGCTCAGGTCTGATCTACAGTGTTTAGACTGCCTGGGATTAATTAAGGAAATAACAAAGAATGAATGAAGTGGCATGGTGTGATGACTAAGAGCTTGGCACTGATATAAGGCCACTTCAGATAGAAACATTCACCTTCAAAAGGGTAAAATATATCCCATACTACCAATAACTAGATACAGCTTGTGGCATACTATTTAAACATGTCACAAAGGGAGAACATTTTCACAATTGCATAAAAGCCACAGGTCTTCATTAAATCAAGTGTTGATTCTGGAGAGAGAGGGGAAGGGAGAAGGGAAAGAAGAAGAACAAAACTGGGAGGAAGCACAAGGATCTATGGGGTGGACTATAGGTTCTTTGGTGGTGGGTGCACTATGGTAACATCATTCTTATAATGCAAACAACAATGTAAACCAATAATAATGCAATAAAAATGTTTGAAAAAATAACGTTTTTATCATCTTGTTAATTTCCACACCCCAAAATATTCTACTTCTATTTATTAATTGAGAGATAATGTAATGGTGTCTGACAAGCTAAAATTAAACATTCAACTAAAGTGATACCTTTAAGTAAGAATATTTAGTATATGATTTCTTCATGGAGCATGTTGATATTAAAATTTCTGATGAAGTAAAAGTGCCAATTCTGAGGTAATTTCTATCTAATAAATCTATTAAAAATGAGAGATACTACAGGTGTATGCTCTGTACTGATTATATTAGATTCCATGATTATTGTCACTGACCTCACAAACAAGTAAGTAGATGGTACTTACCCACCACAGTCCCACAGGTTCAATACCAGGTTTCCCAGAAATCGAACATGAGAATGTTCTACATCAACTAGAAAACAAATGTGACAAATCTAATAATTGTAACATGGAAGGTGAAAATCAAAACAAGCAAAGCACTGCCCCATGGAATTCAGGCCCAAAGTGGAGTGAAATGCTCAAAGCCACAAGAAGAAGGTGATTTTTAGCTTAGTAGTATGGTTTAGTGGCAAGGTAGGCACCTGAACTACCCTTAGCTACAGAACTGGCTCTCATGTAAGTCATTTTACTTTTTAGTAGTTTAGTGGTTAAACCAAAACAATCTCCAATTATAATGTTAAACTTTCAACATGTAAAACAGACCTATATCATTTAAGAGCTCTTCCCTGACCTAGTTACCAACACCATCCGCAAAAAAAAAAAAAAAAAAAAAAAAAAATTAAACAGCAAAAACCAGACACAAAACAAACACAAGATATAACCAAACTCATTCCCTCTATTGATTTCCTTATTTTGGTTAATGACCCTACCATTTTCCCTTTTATTTTGGAGGAGGGTCATTTTTGTCCTCCTCTGTTCACATTTAATTCATTCTTTTTTTTTTTTTTTTGTAATCTTTCTGAAGTCACTCCTTGTTTTACAGCCTGCCATTAAGAAAGGTCCTTACCTTTTCAAGCCTATTCAACTACTGTATCTCCACTACCTACCCCAGGAGTCTTACCAGCTTTACTTCATCCTATAGGCTCTTGCTAAGTTCATCTTCTTAACACTTTGAACATGTCACTCCCCATTCAAAAAACTATCAATGGCTCCTCCATGGCTATTGGGAGCACAGGGGGCGGGATGACTATTCAAGGTCCTTCACTATTTGGCTTCCAATCTATTATTATATTCCCCAATAATTCACGTTAATAAAGCCTTTTGCTCCAGTCCAATTTGGCTTATTCATAGTCGTCCCAAGTCCCACAACCCCTACATCCCACAAGATACCTTACATCAGGGGTCGCAAACTTGCTAAGAGGGGCCAGGCCAGTAAATGTATACTTGAGCAAAGTCGATCAAGTGTAGAGAGTAAATATCCACCCAAGGGGATGGAGTGGGTGGTAATTACTCAGCTCTAGTTATTTGTTATGTAGGAATGTAGGCTCAAGATTTAATAGAACTTTACATTTTTCAAACGTAAGTGGGAAATCTACATTTTAATGGAAACTTACATATTAATAACCAATTCAAATTTTTCTAAAACAGTGTATAGGCCAAACAAAACACATCTGTAGGTCTTATCTAGCATACAGGCTGCCTGTTTGCGACCTCTGCCTTACACTTTGCCTCCCCACCCTATATCTTGTCTACTCTGTCCATCTGCCTAGTAAATCCTCCCCACCTTTCTTTCAAAGTTAGATTCTGCTTTTAAGACACAGTTTAAATCCCACCTCCTCTAAAAGCCCTACCTAGCCACCCCCACTTAGCGCTGTCACACCCTCTGAATTTATTCAAACATTTATTAAGCATCTACTCTCTGCCAGGCACTAAAAATCACAAAGCAGAACAATGAAAATTTTTGTCCAGGAAATTTCTCAAAGTCTAGCAATTTAACATCTTTACAATTTATGTGACAGTCAAACCAACAACACAGTGGTGTTTATTCTATGACCATCTCAAAGCTGTTACTTTAACTGATTGCTATTTAACTTTTATACAATATTAGCTTTTCATAAACCAGCTAAACATTTTGTAAAAAACCATGGACATCGGAGTCAAACATCTTACTTCAAATACCAGCCCTATCTTTCTGTGTGACCTTGTACAAGGCACTTAATCTCTCAATATTAGCTCTCTCTTGTATTAAAAACAAGGTGTGATGGAGGGCATATTATTGACCTCACAGGATTACTGTAAGGGTTAAAGAAGCTATTATACATAAAGTGCCTGGCACATAGTAGGTGCACAAACTACTTCCCTTTCCCCTTTACTTCCCCCTCCTTGGAAAAGGAATCATATCTTACATGTTTTTGTATTTCCAACAGAGTCTACGAGAGAGTAGGTGCTCAAACTGCTATTAATTTGAAGACTATGTAAACGGTCTAGTACTAAAAAAAAAAATGGAAAGAAGTACTACTGAGAAAAGGAAAGACAATAACAAAAGAAGTGACAGGATTCAGTGACTCTTTAGATATGGATTACATCAGATAGAAATCTGATCTCTACTCCCATATCATAGAAATTGTTCTTATCTAGTGACCAATGGTGCCATTACCAATTCCAGTGGATGTTTTAGTCCTTGTTTTAATTTTGCAACATTACACTGTTGACAAATTTCTTCAAAATTTCTCTTCTCTTGGCTCTAATATCGTACCTAAAATCTCTCTGGCAGATCTTCCTTTACAGCCCCTATTCTTCTTTCTGTCCCTCCAATGTTGAAATTATTTGGCATTTGATCCTTGGCTACCTACTCTTCTATGTATTATTCTCCCAGGCAAGATAATTTATTAATATTGTTTTATTTACCATGTGTATACTGATAACTCATTAATATATATTTCTAATACAGATTTCTCTCCTTTTCTGGACCAGATATTGGACATTACCCCTTCAATAAACTACAAGTATCCCTAATTTAATGTATACAAAATAACTAACTCATCATCTCCCCTTAAAATCTCCCCATTCTTCCACAAAATCTATTCCTCTTTTTGTCTTCACCATCTCATTGAATTTGACCAGTTACTTAAGTCTAAACCTTAGCTTCATCCTTGAGTTAACTCCTTCATTCTCCTCTCCCCCAAAATCTACTGGCAAGTCCTATCGATTCTACCTCTAAAGTATATCCTAAATCCATATACTTCTCACCATATCCACTACCACCACCCTAGTTAAGTCTCCAAGTTAAGTCTCCATTACCACTTATCTGGTCTACTAAAATAGTTTCCAAATTTCCCGTTTCTACCTTTGCCAAACTCCACTCTATTCTCCACATTATAGACATAACAATCTCTTCAAAATGCAGATTTTATTCCACTGTTCCTTAAGAAGGCATGTCTTATACATGTACATCTGTATGCTTCTGGACAAAAAAAATGTCAGAAGGATAACCTCAAACTACTAATGGTAGTTGTTTCCAGAAAATAGGACTGAAAATGAAGGAAGGGACTTTGATACTTATGTAATGTTTGAATTCTTCACAAGTATTACTTTTGTAATTAAAACTGAAAATTAAAAATAATAAAATCTGATCATGTTATTTTTCTGTTTAAAACTCTCTAGGGGCTACCCTCCATCTTCAGTTCAAACTACCTATAGTTTGGCATATAAACATGGTTTATAAGGCATTTTATAATCTGAGCCCTACTTTCCACCTCCTTCTTGAGTCTCATGTTTCCTCTATGGTCCTCTGCCTTTCCTTCTCTTCCTGTCCTGCAGTCATATGAACAACTGAAAGGAACCAAGAACAGAGCTTTGGGAACTCACATACATTTATGGGGCAGAAAGAAGAAAACATTTCTTTTTTAAAGAGGGAGGGCTGTTAAAGATAAAGGAAGGAAATCAGAGTACTCAAACATTAAATAATAGCCAAGAGAACCGAGAATTTTGAGAAGGTAGGAAATCTTTTGTTCCTCAACAGTGCTTGAGACTAAACATACTTCATAATATTATTTGTTGTGACACATTTACTATTTCAACAAACACATTTTAACAGTCACCTAATAAATTAATAATACCATCATTCTGTATTCTTTGAATTTTCAAAACACAGTAAGTAGTCTCTGGACCTTTTTCAGCAGTGACTAGAAAAACACTAAAACATTAAGGTGATATAATATTTTGGAAGATGTACTCTCTTATTACTTTTAAAGAAAATCAGAAATTGCATACAAACAAATTGTAAATAAAAATCAATATATTCTATGTACCTTTAATTATTCTATGAAGTTTAGCAATAGAATCCAGACCTTTCTTCAGCAATGAGAAATCAGTTAATGATACACTAAAGCATTAAGACAAACAAACTTTAAAGTATACGTTTACTACTTTTGGGGACATATAGTAATTGCTAATAATGTATTATAAAGATCCTAACTGAACTATCTTTAAGGGCAAGTACCTGGTCTCATTCACAGTGTCTGGCCAGAGGAAGCTTTAGAAAAGCATTTGTTGAATAAATGGCCAGCTTTAATGTATAGGCTTTACATAATTTGCAACATTCTGCAACTTTTTAATGATATTGCTAGATTTCAAAACTATTTTAAGAAGCTTGAGAAGTTCTGAAATTTGGTTGCAAATTCACTTGGCTTAAGGTAGTAAATCAAATCAAATAAGCTAAAAACAAAAGTTAATTGGAAAATTAAGTCTTCAGCATAATGATTAGAGCAGGAGCACAGACTGACATTCTACTTCTAACACTTGCTAGTTGAATGAATTTCACTTCTAGGTCATATTTTCTTCATCTAGTAAAATGATGCTACTATGAAAACTAAAGTAAATAAACAGAAACATTAGTTTGCAGAAACATTAGTTTTCTCTAATCAACTAAAACCATATGACAGATTATTTAACTCGGAAGAATAGGACAAATATAAATCTAAAATTAAAATCTAGCAAATCAAGAGAGGAAGAAGTTTGGACAGGTACTTTCTAAAAGGAAGTCTCTCAAGGCATGGCATACAACCTTGCCTGGACCCAATTTATTGATGAATGTCTTAGATTGAAAACTAGAGAAGATGCAAAGTAAGGAAGGCTAGTTAACATATCAGAGGAGAGAATAAGCAGCTAACATGAAAATAGAATCCAACCCCTTTTCTACAGATAAGGAAACCGAGGCCCATTGAAATAGTGACTTTGTAGTTATCAAACACTAGGTACAGTAACACATTATGGGCTAAAATAAAACAAAATTATTTAATAGGTTCAAAATATTAATTTTACAAGAATCAGAAGGTATTTTAATAATGATATATCTGAAAAGGAATAAGGTTGTTGTTGTTTTTAGTATAACTCAGTATAATCCACAAAAGAAGGTTTAGATTATGCTAACAGAAGTCTGATGCCCAAAACAAGAGATTTAATAGTCCTACTCTGCCATGATCAGACCACATCTGCATTCAAGTCTCAGTACTTGAGAAAAATGTAAACATGTTGAAACAAGTCTTTACAAGTGCTTCAAAATGATGTGAAAAGAAAAATAAATGGAGGAACTGGAAATGTGAAACTTAAGGAAGCTATGATTTGGGAGGCAGGGATGGTTAGGATAGACAGAGAAATTAATCACACTAAAATATTTCTAGAGGCTCAAAAGAAAGATAGGGGACCAGCTAAGAGAAATAAAAGGAAATAGACTTGTGATTCTGCTTAAGAAACAGCTTTCTAACCATTGAAGCCACCCCAATTATGAGAGTGTATACTATACTCCAAGCACTTTAAGAATAGAAATGTAGTTTCCTTTTTCTTTTGTATCCTAGGGTCTGGGACATAAGGTTTCAAAAATGTGAACTGTTTTTGAAACTAGAGTAAGATACTTTATGAAATAGTGGTTGTCTTGTTCCTAAAAGCATTCAAGATACTAGAAACCTAGCTCAGGAATCTTTGAAAGACACATAGGGCAACACTTTTGTTACCTAGAAGCCAAAGACCAAGAAAAGTCAGAAATACTGGATGCTGTACAATGAAATGGCTTTACAATTCACAGACAGAAAGTGTCTCCCAGGAGCACAGATCCACTGAACTGGCAGCCATATTAGCTTAGATCAAGAAACCAGATTTAATATTCAAATCATAAAAGGCAATGAAATATTTCTCAAGTCAGAGGTGGAACTCCAAAGACGACATCTATGTATATTCAGAAAGAGAGACAACAGAATGCAGATAAGGTGTTAACCTCCCACTCACAGCCCCAAACCACATCAATTTCCCTTTAATGAAGACTAGGACTAACTACTGCTTTTAAAAAATCTTAGATTTTATGGTTAGGTTTGCTAATATCTATCAATTAATTTTCCATTTATATAACACTAGTTAAAAACAAACACTTCCCCACAAAACAAATAAAAGGTTCCCTATACTTGTTTAGGAACAAGAAAAAAAAAAAAAGCTGGGCAAGGGCATTCCACTTGGTGAGCAACCTAGAAAGGAGAGAGCACGCAGTAGTAACTAAAATTAGGCCACACTCTCTGACAAGGAATGAAAACAGGGCAAACATGCTGCAAACAAATTTCTCAATCTCTGCATTCCCAATTTACTACAACCAAGTGTTATGCAGATTAATAGATAAGATCACCTGACTTTACAATAAGATAAAACATCTTACTTGTTGCACCAAGGCGACGAGTGTCTCTGGCAATATAATTTGCAAAGATAATAGACCTCATGCTGGTCTTACCAGACCCACTTTTGCCCATCAACAGCACCTAAGGACAAAGTGGGAAAGTTGTTAGAAATTCAGAGCAAACTAAGTCTAACTAAAAGGATCTATTTCCTCCTGTACTGTTTTACCAGCAGTACCAACAAACTTGTGTGGATATTTGTAACAAATTGGCTTTCCAACCAAAGTGAATGCAGATATCTAGAATTCCAGGTGCCAGGCATTTACCCATTCTGGGTCAGACATCCTCTTGGCCACTGAATCACAGTGACTGTGTTATGCTTTTAACATACAAAATCATATATTCAGAACTATGTTAGAGAAATACCGACGAGAGGAAACTGAACCTTGCTCTCACACAATCTAATGTGTCATGCACTAAACTACCTGGCAGCGGATTTCAGTATAATTCAAGGTTCCTTCTCCTGCTCAAGGTCACCCTTTCCACCTGTGCCCTTGATCTCATCCCTTCTACTTACCTTTGTGTTTTGTTCCATTAATTATTCTGTGTCTCCTTTTTCTTTTCAAAAGTGTTCCATACCATATAGGGTCAAGTCCTTAAGCTACAGGTAAGACTTCCTTTAATTGTGTGACCCTCCTGGCCTAGAACAACATAAAGTCCAGCCATACTGAACTCAAGAATTTGTAGCACCTTTGATTATGCCCTATCTTCAGGGAGTCCTACTCAATGTGTTTGTTTAATGCTGTACTGTCTGCAACTGACTTTGCAATCTCCTGTCTTCCTTTAGCTAAGCACCACTCATTCTTCAGGACTTGGTTCAGTAACCATCTCAAGAAGCTTCTCTGACTCTACTGTCCTACAATGGCTTAGGTGTGTCTCACCTCTGTCCTCCAATGGCATTTTTAGTGCATTGCAAAAACTGTAATGCACTTCAGGTATCCATTTTTTTTTTTTTTGGCCTATTCCTTACTAGACTCTGAGCTCTTGAGTGGCAGGGAGAGTTCCCTTTATATCTCCAGTGCCTAGCATATAAGAAGTGCTCAAATATGTTCCATAAGAATGAGCAATCTATCAAAACAAAGATTAAAAAAACCAAAAGTGATTTTAACAATGACAACTGTTTAATGGGAAAGGTACCCTTATAAAGGTGAATAGTTTTCTTGCCAATGCCAGCATTTAACGAAAACAAAAAAGGACCAAAGATGCTGCAGATTCTTGCAGTGATTAAGGAAACTTTTGAATTTTTTCAAAATTAAAATTTATTACATATAGTTCCAACTACCTTGCTTTTCAAATGAAGTAGATACATTTTCTATTTTCAATCCCAAGATATTTTATAAAAAATTCTAATTCCAAATAAAAGGAAGTTTAATGAAAGCATACTGATTTTAGCCTTAATTTAATCTAGTTATTTAGACAAATAACTTTATCTCAGTAAGGAATATAAACTAAAGTTGTCACAAAAAAGTTTTTATTTTTAATCATGTAATTTAGTTTAGACAGGTTTATGAAGAACACCCCCTTAGAGAAACGGAGTGATATAACTAAATCATTAGGTCAAGTTAAGGCTAAATATGGTGCATTTTATTCTTAATTTAAGAAATCTTTCCTCATTCGCTTATGAAAGACTTAACAAGATTGCTAGATGTTAATTTAAGTGTTCTACATACATGCATTTGCTCATTTAAACTGCGTAACAACCTTATGAGACAGGTAATATCATTATCACCATTTTACAAAGGAAGAAAGTGAAAACCCCAAAAGGTTGAGAAATTTGTTCCAGAGCTGTGCTCTTATTGATTCTGCCTAAACCCCAAGGTGAGGCCTTAGGTTGGCATAGGTAATCTTGAAGTACCATAAGAGCAACAAAAAGGAGGGAGTGTTCAATTCCATCTAGGAAACTCATGTAAGCTTTATAGTGATTAACATTTGAGTTGGGGTCATCATAAATGTGCAAGCAGAGGCCTGTTCAGTGTGTGTGTATGGCTTGCACAAAATGCAAGTTAATTTACAAATTTGAAGAAAACCAGATTTTGTATGGTTACTATAGGGAACACAGGTGAAGCAGATTGTTTAGTTATGGATAGATCTTTAAAGGATATCCTATGTGATGAAGTCTTTAGGATTTTATTCTATGAGCCTTGGGGGGAGAGGGTACAAAAAGTTTTAAGTATGTGAATAACCCAGTTGGATTTATATCGTAGAAAATGTAAATTTGCTAGCAAAGAAAGGGACAAAGGTCAGGAAGAACATGTAGAAGGTTGCTACCAACAAATTTTCTGATCTTCTTACCTTTACCTTCATTTTTTGGATGTACCTAACATGACTTACCTTTTTCTTCATAGCTGTATTTGGTAGCACCCACCTGCAGATGTAAACCAAAAGACAGTTTCCATGATCAAATTGCCTTAGAAAGTGGAGTTAAAGAAATAAACAAACATGGAGGTACACAAGAGCATGTTTACCACAATAGCAGAATATAGCTGTATGTGAAACCTCAATTGAGTAGAGGGCCTCATTTCAGTAAATTATAAAACTGGGTTTATTACCCCTACTCCCTAATTATGTGCTCAGGAGATAGCTACTAGAAAGATTTATTTAGAAATATATATATGTCACTAAGATTCAAGATACAATTTTTCATCACCTTAAAAAGTTTATCAAAGCAACATAATACAAGTGCTTTAATAAATTAAACAATATTTAAATGTTTCTATTTTTAAATTCAGTTAATTTTAAAAAATTGGAAGTATCTTTAGTCCTTCAGTTGTCCTTCCAAGTCATATTTCAGTCATAACATGCACAAAGTATATAAAAGTATCAAATTCAGGTACAAAAAATTAAAACAAGTGTCAAAATCAGGTACAAACTGGCACTGAAAACACACTCAAATCACTGATCTCTGCCTAGGAAAAGCCAAATCCCTTCCTGCCCTTCCCAGCATCAGCACAACGATGTCAAATCTCCTTTATATTGATAATTGAAAGCAACTCAACACTGTCTCGTCAATTAGAACACCCCTCACCCAGGACTGACCTGAAATTTGTCCCAAGGATTGTTTCGGTCCAATTACTAACCAGTCCTGCTCCAGTTTATCTTGTCGCCAAAAGCATGGTACCAATCAACCTTACTGGTAAGTTGAAGCAATTTATCATGGAGGGGAGGGGTGTTCTAATTCACAATTCACTTCAGTTAGAAGGCCCCACCTTACAAGTTTAAAATAATATCCATCACCCACCCTAGTGATCCTTCCGGTTCCCCTATGGGAGGATCCATTCTCGGCCCCATAGTCTCTTTCTCCATCTTTTTCTGAGAGTCAGATTCTTCCATTGTGCAACAAGTCCTTTCCAGTCCCTTCTAAATCTGCTGTACTCTTTCTCTGGTTTTCGGTTGTTGTTGTTTTTTTTTTTTTCCCTTTCTTTTTTTTTCGACGTTCCCCACTCAGCCGCTTATTCTCATCGACTGCGACTCTTAGGCCTGCTCTATTCTTGCCTTGCCTTCGCCTTTGTCCACTGGGGGGCTGCTTTCTCCAGTTACCTTTACTGCCTGTAACTTGGCCTCCAGGCACGGCTCAGCGGGCTAGCACAAAGGCGAAATGATTCGGTGGTGCAAATGAAAGATGGAGGATGAGAGGGAAAAGGGTGGGAGGGGGAGGGTCCTTTCGAGGGTGAGCCTCAGGCCCCAAGGTCTCCAAACCCAAAGGTGACTTCACCTGCAAAGAGTGAGAAAGGTGAAGGCGGAGATGGCAGAAAGAGCCGACCGGTGCTGTAGGTACTGAGCGTTGAACGCTCCACCTGCTCGTTGTTCCTGAGCCTTGACGCAGGAGAGAGTCCGCTAGCCGTGGCGGTTAAGACCTATCCGCCCGCCCTTCAGTAGCCCAGGTACCACACCACAGCCACCCGACTGCAGGCCAGGATCACATGGCACCGGCCGTAAAACCTATCACGTGACAGCTGCTACCCTAGAGGCGGGAGGGTTTGGAAGGATACCATAGAGACTGCTCCCAGAAAGACAGAGTGCCGCCTGTAGTTTGTCATGTGACCCTGACTCTATGCTGCAGTTCCTTAGGATTCTGGACACCCTGCTGGCGCTTTCCTTGTCGGTGGGCTTGGCTATAATGCCAGCCGCGGAGAATTAAAGGAGACGATTGCAATTTCAGTCCTAAAGAAAGCCCTTTTTATTCCTGTAACAGGGAGGTCCCCAGGATAGGGGGAGGTTCCAGGTTCCCTGCCCCACCCAAATGGAGGGTGGAGCTGAGCAGGGAGAGAAGAAGCTGCAGAGGGGACTGAGGAAGGAAGGAAGCAGGATGGAGAGCCAGAAGGAGACCTGGAGGAGGCACATGGAGCCTAGAGACACGTGAAGAAACTGCGCTTGTCTTTTGGTCGTGTATAGAATACGCAGGTTTGCGGGGTTTGGGCTGCCCCTCTCCCTGCCCTGTAACATTCCTATTTCACCCTTAACGGTTTTTCTGCAAGGAACGCCTCACATTGTCTCTGTTTGTTTTTAAGTCTTTGTCTTAATGCTTTTTTAAAAAAAATATTAGTCCCTGTAACTGATCTTGTAATTAAATGAGTTAATGTAGCCACGATGATTACAACTGTGTTTTTCAAATAGTAACAGTACAATGAAAGTTATGGCTAGGATCAGAGGTTTCATCGGAAATTTTAGGACAAACACACCCATCTCCCCACTTGTTTAAAATTGGAGTAAAGGAAAGAAATTCTCATATACCGTAGTGAGAAGTCAATACATAAAAGTTTAGAATTGATAGCTCAGGGACTATTGGTAGGTGTATATACATGTCACATTCAGATGTAGAGACCACTTGAAAAATGGAAGGAGAATAAAACAGCTCAGAGTTCAAGGGTTTGCTTCTATAGTGGGGCAAGGGATAGGAAGTGAGGGGACATCTTAATCCCATTTATGCTATAACAGGTGTGTGTGTGTGTGTTTAAACTATGTGTATATATTATTGGATAAGAAAGAAAAGGAAGAAGGACTAGAGGAAGAAAACAAGGGAAGGGAAACTGGATGGAAATAGTACTGACTTCTCCATTTACAGTCCTATATGATCCTTTCTCACCACAACTGCCATGCCTCAAGAAAGATTTAGACTAATCATGATGTCCTTATCCCTATAACTTGGTAATCACCTCCCTCTTCCCCACCAACTGCCTCCAAAACAACTCCTATTTCGGTTTTTCTGAGTGGTGGTAGACCCCAAGCCCCATTACTAGATCACTTTAGATTCATTGTCCTTCATATAGTACAGTGAGTCTAAACCAAGATGAAAGTCAAAGAGAAACACAGCTTGAGTTAAAGGCATAGGAATAGACTATTCAATAACTACTGACAGTAGGGGGGAAAAGCTGGGCTACATTCCGATGTGTGCAGATGTAAATAGGGTTTTTTAAAGGACAATTAGTGGGGTGAGGAGAGGCTCAGTAGAGTCAGAGAAGTGAAAAATAACTAAAGATTGGTCAGTATAAATGCTATTAATACAACTGTGTTTGCTAGCAAGCAGTGACCAAAGTCAGGAATCAATTAGCACAGACTGGGAGAAAGAGACCCTATTCTCCCTGATGATAATTACATTTCAAAGGAATGGCTACTAGGTCCTTGAGAAAGACACCATGAGTTCTAAGTGTTACATATTCACAATTGCAATCCTTTTTCCGTAAATACTCTAAGAAAAAGTAAGTAAGGGGTCTATCATGGTCAAACAAATATCAAATTCTCCTTGCATTGTTGGGATTTCTCAGGTTTGCATTTTAATGAGGGTTTGGAATAAGTGGGGATCTGGATACCTAGGTGGAAGCCAGAATCTTAACCTCTAAGCCATATAGGAATGCATTGCACCAACAAGCCTAATTCATTATTGTGGAATCATATCTTAATTTTAGTTCTTCAATCTTTTCAAGTTCCTTTATTCCATTCCCATCATCCTACTCTTATTCCTCCTGTTTCCCATTTTCCTTTGCTCTTCCCAGTCCCTATTTCCATCACACCACTTCTCTCCCTTTTTTTCTTTATCCTCTTCCCTCCTTTTCTTCATTTGTTCCTCTTGGCCCTTGAGGGAGGTAGTGAGCATGAATAAAGAAATATGGCTAGAGAGGTTGCTATAGGCCACATCTTAAAGGTCCTGTGTTGATAGTCTTTTTCCTTAAGTTATGGGAGGAGTTTTAAGCAGAGAAATAGCCTCTTCTGATTTATGCTTAAAAAGATCACCCACCTAGCTGTAGGGAGGATGAATGGTTCATAAGAGGGGGAAAGGAGAGTAATAACATAAACAGTACTTTTTTAAATAAAAGAATGGTTTAGGGAGATATTTTGCAGGTGAAGCCTGGCAGTGGTGGAGGTCAGAGGGTATGTTTGATTGTGGTTTTTAGGCAGGCACATAATACTTACATTGATTTGTGTGTGTGTGTGTGTGTGTGTGTGTGTGTGTGTGTGTGTGTGTAGGGGAGATGATGCATTAAGATTATTCCAACCACTCCCAACAACTTTACAGTTAGTACTTTAAGACAATCATTTAGGAGGCTATTCCAATTATCTAGAACAGATAGAATAGCAGCTGGGATAAAAACAGTACCTATAAAAATATGGAGGAGCAGAGAGATTGTAGAAAATGAGCTAATGAGAACTCTCAACATGTAATTTCATCCAAACCCCTGGACATAGATATTTGCCCTGCCCCTAGAATGACTCCCAGTTCACTAATGATCCCAATCCCCCATTAAAATGCAAACCTGAGAAAGCCCAACAGTGCAAGAAGAATTTACTATTTCTTCTACATGGTGATAGCCCCCTGACCTACTTTTCTTAGAGCACTTACTAAAAGAGGTTTACATGTAATATGCATATGTAACTCTTAAAACTCACAGTGTCTTTCTCAAGGACCTAGTAGCCATTCCTTTGAAATGTTATCATCAGGGAGGATGTGTTGATTAAGTTCTACAGAATTATTCATACATTTATTCAGCAAATACATTTTGAGCAACCATTCAATGCCACAACTATGTTAGACACTAGAGATACAAATATATATTGACTTCAGGTTCCACTGCTTATCAGATCCTTCTGTCTTAACAGCTCAGCTCCACTATTCTCACACACATGTACACAAACAAACACATCACTACCCCATCTGTCCAGATCCCTTCCATAATTTTACAACCATCCATTTCAGAAAGAAATAATTATATAGATCTCTAAGATGTTTCCTTTTATTCCCTACATTATTTTTCTAATTACCTTTATCTTTGATCATATCAATGGGTCCTCAATTCCCAAACTGTCCCTTGTAACTTCCCTGACTTTCTTCTTCACTCTTACATTCTTCCCATAGTTCATTACTACTTCTGAGATCTGCCTGAGCTTATTCCTACATCCTCAATGCAGCTCTTTCCTCTCACTCTCGCCCCTTTGCTTGAAATATCAGAAAATGTCCATCCAGTTAACTAGACTTCAGTATTTGATTAATGAAATGTCCAGGTTTTTGCCTAACATGTTAGGAGCTTAGAAGTCATCACTCCATGCTAATAACAAATAGAAAGATGAACAAATAAAAAAATCAACAAGTGTTCTTGGAGTAATATGATAAGTGAAGTCACACGGTAATCTACTGCCCAAAATTGTAGAGACAATAAGGGAGATAAAGAAAAAAATAACTTTCTAGAGCAGAAACTCATCCACAAAATCCTCTGTGGAAACCACTATTGGGGTAGGAAATCCTGAAACTGACAATATGATAAAAGCTCAATGGTTGGCAAGTCTGAGAGTTAAGCTCAGGGCAGCTCAGTCATAGTGAGAACCCCACATTTTTGTGGATGTCTCCAGGAACACTATCAGGCCCTTACACTAAGTATCAGAGGAAAGGTTCCTCCTCCTGAGGGGTGATGAAAGGGGAAAAGAAATCATTTTGAAATACTCCAGAACATTCTGTTCTTAACAAGATCTGCCTTCAGAAAACAATTTTCTAGAGTCTAACTTGCTGATATTTTATTAATGTTTATCTTACTGAGGGGATGAAAATACCCAACTCCAGTCAACTCCGGCTTTCCTCATAGGGAAAGGAAAATACTCAACTGTGGCCACTCTAGACATCCTGTCCTCAAAAGAGGAAAAACAAGCCTGAGAAGCACTGGTGAAGTTCACAGTCTAGGCACAGGCTAGCCAAAGACTGAGATGAAATCACAGGACTATAGATTACAGTCCCACTCCTTACAAACTACCACCATCTTACTAATGGCCCAGTTACTAAAATTCCTTTTACCCCATACATCATTATCACCTTTCAACAAAAAATTCCAGAGCATGCAAAAAGAAAAAGCACATTTTGAAGAAATTGAACAGCATCAAAACCAAAGTCAGATATAACAGAAATATCGGCACTACCTAAAGGCGAATTAAAGTAATGATAACTAATATGCTAAGGGTTCTACTGGAAAATGGAGGTAACATACAATAACATATGGCTGATGTAAGCGGCCAGATGGAAAATCTAAGAAAGAATAAATAAGAAATGATTGAGATAAAAAACATTGTAAACAAATGAAGAGTGCCTTGGTTGGACATATTAGTACTAAAAACACAACTAAGGAAAGAATCTATGACCTTGAAGATATGTAAAAAGAAATTTCCAAAACTGAAAAGGAAAGAGAAAAAAAAAGACTGGAAAAAAAAAAAAAAAACAAACAAACAGAAAAGAATGTCCGAGGTCTATAGGACTGTAGGATAACTACAAAATAGGTAACATACACATAATGGCAATACCGGCAAGAGAACAAAAAGAGAAAGGAAAAGACAGAAACAGTATTTGAAGCAATAATGACTGAGAATTTCCCCCAGGTTAATGTCAGACACCAAATCATAAATCCAGGAAGGTCAGAGACTACTGAGCAGGATAATGCCAAGAAAAGAAAAATCTACACCTAAGCATA